ATATTATATATATATATATATATATGGGAGAGACGGTTAGGTGCTATCGGCATTGTTACTGGCACCGCAAGCACCACCATGTAAACACAAAACGGTGGAGGGCACAGGCAAACGCCACAAATAACTGCGCCCCGCAGCAGCGGCAAAGGTAGGACCAGCACGAGAAATTATGCTGACTTGATGCAAATGGGTCCTTCCGACGTCTGGACGACCGTCATGTCCTTCTCGGCCTGCTCTTCGTTTTCGAGTTTGATATAAGGCCCGTACAGGAGATGGCCACTGGCATCTCTCTTGTCGCTGGTGCGTGCCACCTCCTTCAGTCTCTGGTTATAAAGCCGATCTGCTGCCGGATGCAGCAGCAGCTCGTCGTGCAGCAGTGGAAGGCGGCTCCGCATCCCTTCTGCCTCACCACCCGCCTCCCTCGTTGCCTCCTCTTCAGGCCTCTCCTTAGGCAGCCAGTAGAGAATCCTGCCTCCTGTCTTTGGGCAGCAGTACGCCGACTGCGGCTGGTACTGCGAGTACCCCACGTAATTATACATGTGCCTGCACACTCCCCACAAGCAACAGACTTTCTCGCAAATCACAGCGGTGCTGCCTCCTGCAGCCCTTTCCAATATCCAAAAGACCCTGCGCTGGAAGCAAGCATCAAGCCAGATGCCTCGGGTATAGGGTCACCACGGAGGTTTAGCGTTCACGTAGTTGGGTTGGTGCCTGATATCCTGCAGTTCCTGCTGGCCCACTTCTGAAGAGAGCCCTGCAGGGCGTGTATCTCCTCCTTGTAAGATGTCAACAGAGACGGGTCCGATCGGCTTGGCTTGAGCAAATGTTTCACGTATGGAACCTGCACTGTTCCCTTCTCCTGCCCCTGCGCCACAGCACTGCTGCAGGTTCCTTCTCCTGCACCCCCCACTGAGCAGGCCGCCTCGCCTGCACCACAAGAAGCAGTTGTTGTTGCTGCCGCTGTCTCGCGTTGCTGCTTCTCCCCCTCCTCCTCTTCCTCTTCCCCGTCTCCCTCCTCCTCAGATTGGCCCGCCTCCTCTTCACCCACAGCAGCAGCAGCAGCAGCAGCCGCTGCTGCTGCTTTCTTTTTGAGGCGCTGCTGCTTGCGTTTTTCTGAGGCACATGACACGTGACGCTCAACAGGGGAGCACTAGCGACGTCCACCACAGTGAAGTCTCCAAAAAAGCAACCATATGAGGCTATAACCAAGCTGACAAGCTGAATGCCTACTTTTCTTCCGGAGTCGCTTTCGCATCTCTGCGGTGAGACTCTCCATCTCCTGCTGCTCCTGCTGCTGGCCCGTAGGCAAGGGGGCCGCCAGAGGGTTGGGGGGAGGCAGAGGATACGCCGACACACAGACGTTCTCGGGCTTGAGGTCCGTGTGGATAATGCCGCAAACGTCGTGCAGATAGTGCAGCCCGTGCAGTATGTCGTGCGCTATGCGTCGCACCAGAGGGAGAGGCAAGCCTCGGAAGTTATATCGTTTTATGAGGGACAACAAATTCGGGCCTAGCACGTACGTATCACACAGCCCCAACCTATGCCTCCAACCGACTCTTCTGAGCTGTAAGTCCTCAAGCATGAGGCCGCAGAGCCGCCTAAGCGTCTCTACGGATTATGTTTCTCTAGGGATGGGAAGGGACCTACCTAGCATCTCAAACACAAGACACATATGCTCGCCGTTGGGTCCTGTGTGCTGGAACTGCTCCTTGAACAACACCACTGGAGGCAGTGGCAGCTTCCGCAGCGGCTCATAGGGCATACCCGCTGCCTCGTGTCGCTCACGGATGGCATTCTGCGAAGGCAAGAGATCCAACGCAACGACAATTTCAACTGACTTGAAGCCAAAGCATACACTCCCCTTCCCGGGATGAAGCAACTACCAGCAGCTCGCCCTCAACCCCTAAGCTACAGAGAAAACCCTCGGCAATCGTCGCACCGAGAAAGACTTGGCTGCTTCCCTCCAACAAGGGTGGCGCATGCCGTCCTTGACTTTTGTCAGGAGCTGCACCTCGTCTGCTGCAGCCTCCGTGTAGTGCCGAGCACTCTTCTGGAACTTCAGCGCCACAAACTCGAGCGGAACGGCTCTGCAAAAGCGACAAACCCCTAAACAGCACAATATCCGAAACCCTAAACCCTGCACACAGCGTCTCGCCCCAGCAACACCTGCTGCTGTGCTTTTACTGTGACCTTCTGGCTTAAACGGAAACCAAGCTAGCGGTCGCTGCAGCCACTATTCCTGCATATCCAAGCAACGGCTAACTGCCACAATCTGGTATCTCGACAAGGGTACGCTTAGTCCTTAGGTAAGGTCTGCTGCATGAGCTGGCACTCACTTGAGGTCTGTAGCGAGCCAGACAGTCGAGAAGTGGCCCCAGCCAAGCTTCGCCTCAATGCGATACCTGCTCGCGTAAATCTCCCCTACAAACACGGGGTGATAGCCGCCACTTCTGTATTCCCGATGGTCTTCATCGTCGCTCTCCGTGAAGTACACATCGCTGTCAGCTGATGGATCCCCCCCTTCAGGGCCCCCCTCCTCACAGTCGTGTGGGCTTCCTCCTCCTCCAGCAGCGTCAGACCTGCTGCTTCCCCCAGCACGCGCTCTGGAAGACCCTGGGCCGGCGCTGCTGCGGCTGCTACGGCTGCTGCTGCTGCCACTGCTGCTGCGGCTGCTAGTCTGCTGCAGCGAAGAATATGGAGAAGCCAGTTGCCCGTCTCCTTCCTCACCAGGCTCACGAGCTTCATACGCCGGAGAGGCCCATAAGGCCCCCGGTGGCGACTCGCTGAACCCTCGTTTCTCTGTTGCACTCTCGCTGCGCCTCGGCGGCATCACGGCGCTTGTAGCAGAATCTACACTTGCGGTGTCAGTCCACCCGCTGCTGCTACTGTGTTCCCTCTTAGTTGTTCCTGCAGCGGCAGCCGCAGATGCTGTAGCAAGGCCATCTGCCCCTGCAGCCGCGGCTGCTGCTGCTGGCTGTACCATCCCCCAGAAGCTGCTGCTGCTAACGCTACCCCACCGCTAAATGAAAAGCCGCTGATGTTTTATAGTCGGCTCCGTGCCGCACATAGCTTGCTGCACACACTCCTCAGTAAGAGTGCAAGGCCCCAGATGAGCAGAGACAAATAATATTCGGTATGCGGCTCAGCTGGAACAGGGACTGTCCAAGCAGCTGCAGGTAAAACAGATGTTGGTACTTCACCTGGTCTGCTGAAGAAGATAATGCTCCAACAGCCGTCGGTGCAGCCAAGGATGTGGGACCCCTGTTGCTGCTATATAAAGAAATACATACGAACGGCTTCAGTGTCAGCCAGGGTTGACGAGTCCAAAGGAGGTACGCCTCCCGTTGCCGGTACTGCTGCAGCCAACTGCTACTGTGGCTTTCAAACGAACGCCGCTGCTGCTACGATGCAAACTGAATAACACAGCCGGACACACTGAGGCAAATACCCACGACCTCTAGGAGTTTTGACGACATACTGCAACGCCCTGCAACAACGAAGGGATGAATTGCTGTGGCTCCACCGGCAGTGCAGTCCAGAGGGTGCAATGCAAAGGACCCCTATGTGTGCGCCAAGTCACGGCAGGCCACCCAATGGCAGCCAGGAAGTGCCGGCAAGCACGCCGACACAGCAGATGACCTGCACGCTGCTGTCGACTTGCCGGCGCAGCGGGAACAAAGCCGCTGCTTCTGACCGGAATATCACCCACTGCGAGAAGAAATACAGTGTTTAGGCAATGGATGAGGCAGCAGCAACGAATAACAGATGCAGCCTAGCGAGAACATGGGGGCAGCGTCGACAGAACATGCAGCCCTTCGGATCCCCCAGTGGTCAGCCTGGCCACAGCAAGAACAGGCAGCAGGTGCCCGAGCAATTGCAGAGGACTCTAATGATACTGAAAAAGGCAAGAATTAAAGCAATATCGATGTGTACAGCTGGAAACAGCAACTTCTCGGAACGCCCCTCTTTAAAGGCCGGCGGCCTCTGGAAAACTCTGAAGCATGGGCCTCCCGCAACTGCAACCCCTGTTGCTGCTGTTGATGCCGTTGCTGTTGTCGGCAAACCTCAAAGCATGCAGATCTTGCGTTGTCTAGAGCTGCACGGAGGCTGCAACTGCCCGTGTGGTGTGGCGCCACAGCCCGGCTGCTGCAGCAGCAGCGCGACAGCAGCACTACTCACTGCTGCTGCGGCGCCTCAGCAGCCTGTTTAGAGCCACAAGCAGTAATGCAGACAGCACAGAAATAGGATTTAACTTAGTCCTGTTCCAGCTAGTGTTGCTGCTGCAGCCCCTGCTGCGGCGCGCCGCAGCGGCTGCTGCTGGCGGTGGGTGCCTGCAGCTGCAGCAGCAGTCACAGCCAGCGACTCTACACTTAACAGTGTTTGGCACTGCATGCAGGGCATCTTAATGCTTTTCAGTATAATTGAAAGTACTTGATCTTCCTCATGTAGAACTTAGAGAGCCTTAGCTCTTCGTACAGCAAACAGGAGTGTCACTACCCATCCCGCAGTTTCAACGCAAGCTGTGTCTCTTTCGGCGCGGTCCCTGCTGCAGCTGCTGCCGGTAATACAGCCTTTTCATCTGTCGACGGGATACAAAATGCTAGGGTTTAGGTGGGGCGTAGATAATTGAGGGGTGCGGGACCTCAGATAGATTGGGGGGCCCCCTCACTGGGAGGGCAACGGGCTAAGCCCAGCTGTGCCGGCGCTAGGCCTCCTCTAGTGTACGTAGGGTGGGCAGCAATTGATTAAAGATTCGCATACCTAAGTATATATTGTAGGAAATACATGACTGCATGCCTTGGGCGGAGTCGCACCACTCCTGTAGCCCGGGCCTTCTCTAACGAAGGTCCTGGATCGTATAAGAGGGCTCTTGTGAGCTGCAGTAGCAAAAATGCTTGAGTTCCTTAAAAGCAGCCGGACTTACTCCCCGGGCTACAGACGCCATGAGTACAGCGGCCCACGTACCTGGAGTCGCGGGAGGGAAGGCGTCGTGCCATGAAGTTAAACGAATCACAGAGCATCTCACGGCGCAGCAGTGCCAAAAAAAACAGGCACTATCAAGTTTTCATTGGGCCTATCCATAAATACTATGGACAATTGTAGAGAAATCCTGCTTGATTACCGCATGCCTACTTGAAGAGTATAAAGATTCGTGTGTCAACGTGAGACAAACATACCAGTGTCGAAAAGGCTTTGCAGCATTTGCTCATCGCCCCCTCTCGAAGACCGAACAAGTTCTCGTGTGCCTATCTTGGCTCTGCATGTGGCTGTTGTAGCAGGTGATGCTCTCGTGTTGCTGCGCAGCCAGGGCGGCCTCAGACGGCTCCTCCCGCACTGCCTACTTCGTGTATGTGCAGCACTGCCACCATCGTCTAGATAACGAGTTGTTTGCCAACGTTACCGAAGGCTCAGTTTTGCTGCAGATCCTCTGAAGACGGCTGCTAGCGAAAGCGCAAAAGACGTTGAACTCTGTGGGGCTCTGGTCTGCGCTACTGTTGCCTTTTCATGCAACGTTAGCCTGCCTCGTTTGGCGTGCAAACCCAACAGCTAGGGAAACGATGGCTTGTTTGAGTGCACTGCGGGCCTCTTTAACGTTTGCCGACGTCCCACTTGCTGCACACAGGGTTGAAAGAAGCTTCTGTAAGCACAGGAGGGAAGCTAGACCACAGCGGAGGGCACGCGGAACACGAAACATTTAGTTTCTTACGGAAGGAAATATCAACGACTACAAGATAATTAAACGAGGTCCGACCTTAGGCTGCCCTGTTCATGTCCTGGCTTACAGTACTCTCCAAGTGACCAAGGATTGCCTGCAGGAGTTCACGATTTCCTGCGTGGCCTCCGCGAATTGTTTTAACGAAGGTTCAGTATCTCAGTTTCCCCCCGTTGTAGCTTGTCGCCATAAAGCTCCTGACTCTTCGTGGGGAAATTTCGCGGGTATTTAGGTGATTTGCTGAATCGTTCTAGAAACCCAACACTCATCGTATGGCATCTCCGAGATGGGGGTAGGTTGACGATGTAGTCCAATTCCCTGACGAGAAAGAACAGCACAAGGTCCTACCCAGTGGGCAGCTAACTTCATCGGCTCCTCCCCCCCCTGCGCCCTTTGGGGGAGAGGGAATCCACCAAAACCGAGTAGTATGGTCTGAAAGTACCTGTTCAATGCCATTTTTCGTATTTGCTAGCATGGAATGGCTGTCTTTTTCTCATGTCTTCCTTTGATGGTGGGAGCTGCGTGGGGAAGTGTGAGGCTTCATGCAGTGCGCGGGCACTAGAATGGACATCCCACTGAGCCGTTAGAAGCCCCCCAGTAAAGGTAAGTAATATAATGTATTATTAATTCTACATCATATCGCTTAGGCCACAAAAAGGGCCAACCAGCTACGAGGCCTCATCAGCCTACCAGGGTTTCGAGCTGGTTGCGTAGCTGCGGCTCCCAGCTGGGGCTCTGATCCCTATTGGGAGTCACGGGAGACAGGTCGTTTACTCTCACCGTTGTATACATAAGTGAAGTAAAGTTTACTGACGTCAATTTAGCGGTCTTTAGAGTTGTCGCTAGAATTCCCTGGCAAACGGGCCCAATGAACTGTACGTAGAGGCAACTGTGAATAGCTACCGCACTAGACTGCAGGCGCTCACGGCTGGCTTCAGACCGCCAGCTCTTTCATCGGGTCGGTCAATGTTGTATCGTTGTAAACCAGGGATGCTGGAGGGCAGCGAGTGGAAGAGAGCACACTTATGATAAAAATCCACTCCACAGAAGGGCGAAATATAGCCAATTATAGTTCTTCCGGGTATAGAGTGGCAAATACTGAATTATCTAGGGGTCAGTGCCTTCGATTTGACCGTTTACTTCCGGATGGCTTGATGTGGTCATTTTATGGTCGATGTTGACTCGATTAATGAATTCGCTCCAGACAGCGTTAACGAGCTCCATATTCCTGTCAGTGATGATACATTTCCGAAAATCATATTGCTTCCAGAGACGACGAATGAACAGTTGGGCCACTGCCTCCGCTGTAGCCGAGCTAGAACAGGGCATGGGGTGGACATACCTACCACGCTGTCTACTATATAGCACGACATAGAGGCTGTCATAGCTTCTGAGTGATGGTAAACCCAATATGAAATCCATTGATATCCATCTAGATCCGTTCAGGAGACGTGAGGCTCTGCACGGGTCCGGGGTTGAGAAAGTTCCATGGCGTTTGCTGCCTGCATGCCGTGAAAATGTGTTCTTCAGCTGATTATTGTGTCAGAGGCTACCAAAAAAAACTGGCCACTCTCTTCATTGTTGTATAACCCCTTCATTGTCTGCTAAAGTATGGTTGTGCATTTTGCACAACACTAATGTACTAATGTGTCCCGCAAGTGGAGTTGGAACGTTCAGTAGGGGGAGTCCACTCCACGTCTGGTACCGCAAATGATCCCCATCGACGCAATAGTGCTTCACCCACCTCCAATTACTGATCTCAAGAATAGATTTAACCGCATGAGTATCTAGGGAATACGGTAAAAGCAATTTCCAGAGGGAGACGGGAACCATAAACAACGTTTTCGCCGACTCATCCAACGCCTTACATGGCAGGCACTGTTTCCTGCAACTGTGTCCGTGTGATATGCTTAATATACTCCACCATAAAGTCTTGCTGCGTGCTCAGGAAAACCACCGAATAACCCTTTCCCTTATCGAAGTCTCGAGAAATCCCCTTCAGGCTACCCATGGTTCTACAATAAGTTCTAACAGTGACGTGCCTCACAGACAGGTAATGCTAATACAGTTTTACAGCCAAACAGACTGGGTACAGCTCTTTCCCGGATACTGGATCCTGTCTGCCCTTCTCTCGCTGAAGCAAAATGACTTGCAGGCAATGATGTTGTTTCTTTCTGAATTGTTGGTTTGCTGATAGGGCAAAACCCCAACTCCAGTTTCATTGGCATCGGCTGTTAAGAAGAACGGTTTGTCAAAATGACGTAGCGTGA